TGCGCGATAAAATATCAGCTGTGGTAAGTTGAGCCAAATGCCCAAATATTTGACCGAAGGACTGAGGATACAACTCGAATCAGATGTTTGACACCATTCGGAAGGATCTGGTTTCACGTTTGGATTTTAAATGTTGTTTGACCGCGATTCGTGCCCGAGCGAACTGCCTTGGCTTGAACGTCAATGTGACAAAGGGGATTATATCACACTTGACCATAACCTGCATGGATATGAGAACGAAATGAAACCTATCCGCCGCAATGCAGAGAAGTACAGTGAGAGCAAGAGAAATGCTCCAGAGCGCAGAGCTAGAGGTGCGCGAATCGAGAAAGATCAAATTGAACGTCATGATGTAGGTCAGTATTACATTCCAGTCAGTGCGTCGTAGGTTAATTAGTAAATAAAATGGGGTGTAGTCTGTGAACGAGGAGTAGAGCGAAATATGTGGAAGGGTCAGGTCGTAAAATGGGCCGAAAGATGGAAGGGAACGGAAGGTGAAAGAAAGTTAGCAAGGCGGTCACTTGCGTTCCCGGAAGACGCGCTTCAAACAGCACCAGATGAAATTTCTCTTTTTGGGGGCGGGGATAGACGGAATCATGGGCGGAGGAACCGGTCGGACGGCATGCCTCGTCAGGTCTGAATAATACCATTCGTCGAAAGTTTGCGGCAAATGCTCGGGAATCGGTCCTGTGTCACCGTCAGTCAGGCCCGGCCACGTTGTGGTATGTGGGAGTCGGACGAACACGAGTTTGGTCTTCACATCCTCGGATACACTCCGTGGCACATCCTCCACACAGAATTCGCCGTCGACTCGACCCTCTCCAGCCGAGGACACGTCATCGTTAAGAATGCGACGAAATCCGCATTCGCGTCCCGCACAACGAGCCTCCGTACCCCGTCAAACCGACAACGCCTCGGCATCTCCCCATGGGGCCACGGCGGGGGATAAAAAATGCCTCGTGGTGCGTTCAGCAAGAGCATAGGCGGCGGAGAAGTGTAGGCGAAGATGACGTGTAGTTCGATGAGGGAGAGCGGGAAGAGCAGTCCTTTTATACGGTACTATTATATGTCCCGGGAAGGCGTCCCAGGGGCGAAAGGTCGCGGCGCAGTCGATGAGGACAAAATGAAGAGCGGTGATACGGATACGGGGTGTGAGATCGGAAATGAAGGGGGCGATGTTGGGGCATGGAATGGCGTATACAGGATTTTCGTGGCGCAAAAAAACTAGGGAGGAGGCAGTCACGGCGACTCCGAGGCGAGGGTCGGTGATGGCGTACTCGATGAGATCGGTGCATTGGGTGGCATACTTCCCGTTGTAGCTGTGGTACACAGAGATGGCGAGGGAACGGCAGGTTTGGATGAGATGCCGACGGACATCCGTGATTCCTGCAAGTTCACAAATGAAGGACATATTGGGTGGTGTGCAGATCTGGACAATGTATTTGATATGGGCGAAGGAGATAATCCATATGTCGTGGAAGACAACAGAAAGAACGATTTTCAGCCAGTCACGAGTGCAAGGTAGCTCAGAGTGGATATCTCGGGATGAGGAGGAGGCTCAAGTACAATCTGATATTTTGTACTTGGTCTCAGAGATGAAATCGAAGGGTTTCTTCATGGTGGATACAGAGTATTCACTGAAGAGGTTTTTTTGGTGTGTTTGTGGGGGGTTCGGCCGTTCCGGCCGAGCTCAGGCTTTCCGCCGCATGCCAATTTGCGCAAGCGGGAGAAGCCGACTCAGATGGAAACGGGGCGATGGCTCGGAACGCGGACCCGGCCGAACCCATATGCAGCAGGAAACCCAAGGGCACAGAGTGGCCCGGAGCAACCACGAGGAGCAGGGCTCAAAGAGCGAAGCTCGCGCGAGGGAGCGAAGTGCCCGAGAACCCCACGGAGCGCAGCGACGAGAAAGTTCTCAAAAATACAGATGAAAATGTACCTTCATCAGCAAGAAAAATACGATTCTCAATCTGTATCTGGTGAGCGTACGGCCAACTCCTGGATGCACACATCCCAAGCGCGAGTGGTAATATAGGCTGGAGGTAATGCCAGTAGATTGAAAATCACAGAGAAGATCATCCTCCCAGCTTCATGATGCACTCTGGCGCCACATGGAGAGCCAGCAGTCCCAGCACCCCGCCGATGCGGTAACTATGCCGAAAACGTGAGGTCCAACCCCGCGGCGGTGTGAACAGTGGCCGATGCCTCCAGGAAAAATCCTTAAGCAAAGGCTTCCCATGACAGTATGCGAACAGCGGGACACCCAGACTGGGCAGAGGTCGGTGATTCTGATGGATGATGGTCTCGAACGACCCACGGCCTGCTGTGTGAGACAAATCTGCAGGAAAATGTCCTAGGAGGCGAGAATTGTGGGCCCGTGAGCCGGTACCATCGGATAGTATGCTCGAGCAACAAAGAGTAGTAAATGCGCGCTCAGATGAAGGGCCCCGACATGTGTTCTGATCATGTACAATTGAAGGGATTCCAGGCCCCGTCAAATTTTGATGAGAGAGAGGCAGCGAGCGCTCCCGCAAATATAAGGTGAACATTCTGACAGCGGCCGCCGGTAGCGAGGGCGCAGGAAAATAGGTGGTGAGTGGTGTGAAAGATGCCGATGGCGAGCATAGTGGTCCTGCTCGGGTAGGGCACTGTTTATAATTCCCGGGGCCATTATAAACGGTTTTTAATGTTGGGTTTATAAACACTGCGCGCAAAATACGCTAAAATTTGAGCATAGCTACTTCCCCCGCCCATGTCGTGTTTCCAACCGCCCGTTTGCCCTTGTCCGTCGTCCCCACCGCCCGTTCCGACCAGTTGGAAAGGCCTCCAATTGCACTCGCACCCGCAATGGGTTTATCTGCAAGCAAATCTCGGAATAGGGCTTGAACCCGTACGTCGAACGGCACGGCCGTCGAAAAAGACGGCCGTTTCTGGGTACGGACGGGTCGACCCGTCCCGTCTCCTGGGTTCTGAAATCGAGAAACGTACGGATCCTGGCCATCCCGGCCGTACCCGGCCTTTTCGACGGGTCTTGTGCGCCCTCAAATCATGCCGTAGACCTTGCGTAGACCAGTGCAACTACAACAGATCAAGTATCTTGCCGGCTCCAATTTGCAAAGGGCATAGATTGCGTGATGATCGAGCGGACTTTGAACGCAATGACACCCCTATCCTTCCATCAGGCCGTAGGGTGCACACCCATGGGAATGGAACTCAATTTGTATGTGACTAGCGTCAAAGATCTTCTTTGGATTTTGATGTGTTCGCAGGCTAGCGGGTGCGCGAATTCAAAGAATGGCGCGGCCATCGTCAGCGCAAGTGCGCTGATCATCTGGTATTCACTTCCGGTCGTCACCAAGATGGGGATGCCGCGGAGCAGATGCGCACAATATGCCATCCGTTGATGTGGGACTGAAAGCTGGTTGAGATGTTCAATTGAAGTTGAACAAAGAGGCTCGAATCGATTGGAACTGCGGAGCGAATATGAAAGGAGGCAAAAGAAAGCACGGAGGAACAAAATTGGGTCGTTGCCGATGAATCACCCGACTCCGAATCAAGTTAGGGCTTTCGCCTTATTTTGCAAAGTGCAGAAGAAAGCCGCGGAGGCACACACCGTATGCCATCGGGTGGTTGAATACCTCTACGCTGTGGTTGAATTTCTGTGAGGAAGATTATGGGGCTGAAGCCTTGAAGGCTGAGAGGTTCGATTTTTAGACGTGAAGTTGAACATTGGGGACAAAATTCACAATAATGATGCACTGAGAATACAAGAGAGACGAGACAAGAGGTACAGGACAATGGAGAGAGAAACAAAGAAAAAAAAACAATATTCTGACTACCACATCGCCCGATCCCGAATCGAACGGGACATCCTGTCTTGCTGCGGAATGAATTAGCAAGGTCTTACTCAGCGCAGGCGCACACCATATGCTATCGGGTGGTTGAATTTATAGGAGTGGAATCGAGGCCATGGTTGAACCCGAGAAAGGCCCAAACTATCTGCTGATTGTCGGGTGTTGGATGGCACAGTACAGTTGTGCTGTAATAAAAATCGGCAACCGAGCACCCAAAAGACTGGCGAAAGAAAAAGGAATGCTACGTTCCAGCATCATCACCCGACTCTGAATCGAACGGAGGTCCTGCATTATATTACTTTGTAACAAGGTCCCCAGGTACACACCATCTGCAATCAGGTGGTTAGCTGCTTTGTTAGTGGTTGATCTTTATGTGAGGAAACCTACAGAGTTGAACACTGGTTGAACTGTTATAATTTCAATTGAAAGATTATTTGCTATGTAAAGTGAAATATCTCTGAGAGAGATGAAAGACACAAGAGACAGGAATAGGAGAGCACGGAGGAACAAATAAAAAAGTGGGCCGAACCCACCGCACCCGACCCCGAATCGAACGGGGTTTCCGCTTAATGACGGAATATGTAAAATTAACCTGCGCAGGCGCACACCGTGTGCTATCGGGTGGTTGAGTACCTCCAATCTATGGTTGATTTTATGCGAACGAAATAAGGTCGGAGTCTTGATTGGCCCTGCTAAAAGAGGTCAAAGTTTGGATTTATATTAATTCTTGCAGTCTAACCTCGTAGGTAGGTAGTGACTAGTATTACACCGGACAAGAGACCAAAAAGATTGTAAAAAATCAGGGAATGTCAAAACATCACCCAACCCCGAGTCGAACGGGGGTTATCCTGCTTTATTTGGCTGTTTCTCGGTTCAAACAGTGCAGGTGCACGTGTGCCATGGGGTGGTTGTGTACCCTGTTTGGGAGTTGAATTTATGGGAACGAAAGCAAAGGCAGGTTTGATGTTGGCATCGATGATGTATCGTTGCAGAGAGGTTCAATTTTTTTGAAGGGTTGAGCCGAGGTTGGACTTCGGAGTTTGGATGTTGAGCCCAGAGGACCCAGTTTACAAAGAAATTTTGTGGAGACGGAGAGCGGAGGGTTGTTAGAAAAAGAAGAAAAAAGGAGCACGTCAGACCAACAAATCACCCGACCCCGAGTCGAACGGGGTACTCCAGCACCATAAGTCTTGCCTTATTAATTCCAGAAAGATACGCAGGCGCACACCATGTGCTATCGGGTGGTTAGCTAGATTGTTAGATCGTTGGATCTTATGAGAATTAAAGTGAAGGCGTATTTGGTGTTGGCATTGGGAGGTTCAATTTTAGATGTTGAATTTTAGTCTTTGAACCCAGAGGAGTTTACAACTAATTCTTGGGAAAAAAATAAACAGTGTTCGACATATAACTGCCCCACCCCGAATCGAACGGGGACCTCCTGCTTAATCGCAGAGGACATTTATTAACCTGGGCAGGGGCACACCCTGTTCTATCGGGTGGTTGGCTACTTTGTTAGAGGGTTGAATTTATACCTGCGGAATTGATTCTTAGACGTGGCGGTTAAAGCGGAGTCACGCTCGGTCTTTTCCGGGCCGTCCAAACAGCGGTTCAGTAACTCACCCACCCCTTATCCACAATCCTTGAAATTTCCGTTCACGAATACGATGGTATTTGATGTACTGAAAAGCATGGACTTCATTGTTGAGCGTCATTGAGTGGAAAGATAATTATAGGACATTTGACACTGGAAGTAAAAGCGTCGTACATTCTCTGCATTCCTACACATCGCGGCATGACCAGCATACTGCAAGCAAAATAATCAGGAGCAGCTGAACGCTCATAAATAGTGTCAATGTGCGCGAGAAAGTGTCGATTTCCTCCTGAAGACCACGTCCGTTGGGCTCTTCGTCTTGAACCGCTTCTTCAAGATGGGGTTGTGAGGCCCAGTAGGACACACCAAACATTCAGCTCACCATTATTTTTGTTAGTGCCCACCGCGTCCCCCGACTTCTCCACATCAAGGAAAGGTAGAGTTCCTTTTTCTGCAGATGATTCCTCATCGTTCGCTACAGTATGTGTTAATTAATCAAATACTCGGCTGCTTCGGCGAGGTTATATTACCTTGGGAGCACACAGTGTCCATCCCATTGGACAATTAGAAAAGAGGGTACCTTAAATGCTTGGCGACTTCCTGGCTGTCCGGATCGAAACCTTTTGCTTGATGGAAGTGACGCAGTCCGGTATAAACAATACCATCCCAGTACCATCCATCAATTGTCGTATGTGGGAATCCATGCCGCGTGGCCTCTTCCAGGCTAAGACGGTTGACGCCCGATGGATCGAGAGACCAATAGGCCGGACAGACTGGCCAGCAGAAAGATGATGGACCGACATGGAAATCCTCCTCTGGACAAAGAAACAAGAAGCCCCGAGGAGGGTCTTCTGTCGTCCCGGAGACTTTGAGCTGAAAGTACGCGCCACGCACAAGGACTGTTTAAAAGGTTCAGCGCATATGAATCAACCACGACTACAGCCGTCCCATAATTCTCGAAATTCGACAAGACCTTGAGACGGCTGAAGACATGATTGGCCTGGCCAAGCCAGGATTTGGAGTTCGTGGTCCACGTGTCTAGCGAGAAAGTGCCATTCAATAGATTCTCGGACGCGAAACTTGGGAGTAAACCCTGTGAGCACAGACGACCTTGCAAGCAGTAATGAAATACCGGGTCCAACCATCCTCCATAACTTCTCCCACCACTTCTATCATCTCCCACTCCCAAAGATTATGATAAGCCTGGGCGTTCGGGAGGGAGGCTATGCCAACTGGGTCTTCGAGTTGATTCCCTGAAGGGCAGGAAACGACCGCCCCCAGATCCACAGTTATCAGAGTGGAAATGGAGATGGTTCGACTTCGTGGCAGATACAAGGAACACCTAGTCTGATATTCCTCGAGTGTCAGAGACTCGATAATTGTGCCCCCCGAGTTCTGCGAAATCCCGGAGAATTTCCCATACATATCAGAGATTTCATCCAGGTCTTCCTCGAGATAGATGGTTTCCCTGGGTGCTATGATTTCAGCGCAGAGCCGACCAGTTGAACGATGTATCCACATAGTGCATTCCCAGTAGCGCTGGAAAAGTTAGTAAACAGGACAAGGGATAAGATGGAGGATTAACGAACGCCGGAATAAAAATAATCATGCATTACCTACAACAGGTTAGGAGCGCGGCTGACTGGGTCGAATTTGTCTATATACTTGCCACTCTATTTGGTAGCACAAAAAAGTGGCTGGATCTGCCACAGCCACCTTTTGTACTACAAACAGGAGTGGCAGATATATAGCAATCGCATATTGGGCGGATCAATGCACTGCTGTAGGGTCCTTCCACTGAGGTTAGACTCGGTGAGCTGATCTCGTGCATGAAATTGTCTTGCGAGAACACAGAGCTGGAAGTCAGAATTAAATGTTGCCAACCAAGTGCTATGTTCATCCCAACTTCTTCTCCAGCTACTTCCCAGGGACCTGGGAATATGCCTCAGCCCTTGCGTAGAAGCCGTGGCCATCTTCAAGTTGCATGGGAAATTATTTGGCCGCGGCAATGCTCTTCAATTCCCCGCATCTGAGCCTGAGAATTGACTTGAATTTCAGTCCCCCACTGGTCAGATGAAACAATATTTGGGGGTGTCTTAGCGTTCTGTTTCACATCGCACTTCATTTGCTCTGAATTGAAAAATTTGGGTTTCACAATCTTTCATGGATTAGCATTTTCTATTCCGCAACCCGGCTTACACCAGCAAGGGCGGTTGCTGATCAAAAGAATCCACTAATGAACACGGTTAGATCAACAAATAAATTAATCGGGTATATTAAATATTTCTGCAGAGAAGCGAAACCAGTTCTAGGCTTACGTACCTAGCTAGTTTTGACTGTCTTTTCAACTGTCGCTTCCCGCCCTGCTCCTCTCCTGCTCTTCCTCTCGGTCTTCATTGGTTGCGCTGACTCTTCCCGCGATTCTGCGCCGCGGCGATGCCCGCACCATGCAGGAAATACCTGATCGATGAGAAGAATTTGCAAATTCAAGACAACGGACCCACAGAAGAAGACCATTGTGGGTCCGCACCATGCTGGTCAGAATGATAAATTAAAACTGCTATTAATCGGCGTGCAACCGGCGCTAGAACAAAGGAATATGAGGGGATAGGCGGGACAACGGAAGACCGTTGTGGATCTACAGCTGTCTGCCCACGAAAAAGGAAGAAAGAAAGAACATGAAACCTGGAAATGGCACAAAAGTGGAGGGGAGAGATGGGAGAAGCTCCACCGTAGAGTACGGTCTCGATCTACCAGTCAAAATGATAAATTGAAATGTGCGTCTTACAACCTGCTTCCCTGGTAGTGCAGTGTATGGCGTGATGAGGAACATCGGATCGTGCCATTTGAACATGTGTGTCAAATGTGTTCACAAGACATTCGGATTGGGATTTTGTTAGTCAATGGCGGTGTAGCCTTGATAGCGAACTCGGATAATGAAAGGGTTTAGCCAGGATAACCCCCATCCACTTCAAATATACTTCGGTCATGGGTTGATCCTTCTCGTGCATATAGATGAACGAGAACGAAGTGGGCCTGGCCCACATTGGACTATGCACTAAGCGTGGTTGGTAGCTTGCGATGTGTGATCTGCGCTGGCCACAGAAGCTGGAAAAAAGGAGCGAACGATGCGCTGCGGGAAAGAGATGGGGGGAAAGGAGGGGAGCGGCGAAGGACAGCCTGTCTCATGAACGGCTCTTGAGCGGTTGATCGGCGAGGTCGAAAATGAAATGGAGCGCCCCTATAATCGATAATCATAGACTGTGTGGAGCGGCACAGAATTCGGTAGAGTTTGCCGGAGCTAGATCGTATTTGGACTGCCACTTCAGAAACAAAGGCGGAGGGAGGGAACGTGGCTGAGAAAAAGGAACCAAATGAGGTGATTCCAAACATGAGGCGTCTGCTTAAGATATGAATTTACCTATGTAACAAAAGGATACTGGACTGCGAAGAGTAGCCATGTGCACGCAATAGAACAGCTGTACGCCATGATGAGGGCTGAGCACTCAGCACGTATTTAAAGGCCACGGCCGCAGCCACTTCGCTTGTGTCCACCTATGCTGCAAGCAATAAACTGGGCCTGGGCGGTAGCAGCCGCCGTAGCCGTAGTGCTCTGCTTCCTCTACAACAAGCTCGTTCTGGCGGAGGTATCCAGCCGCGGAACCAAGCCGGTCTCGGTCAACTACCATTTCACACGCAAGTGCAACAAGACGTGCGCGTTCTGCTTCCACACGGAGAAGACGTCGTTCGTGGCGTTGGAGGCGGACATGCAGCGCGGGCTGCGGCTGCTGCGCGACGCAGGTATGCGCAAGATCAACTTCGCGGGGGGCGAGCCGTTCCTGTACCCGAAGAAGCTGGCGATGCTGTGCCGCTTCTGCAAGGAGCAGCTCGGGCTCGAGAGCGTGTCGGTCATCACCAACGGCACGCTCGTGACTGAGGCGTGGATGCGCGCGCATGCCCGCTGGATCGACGTGCTCGGCGTCAGCTGCGACAGCTTCGACGAGGAGACCAATATGCGCATCGGCCGCGGCTCGGGCAAGAACGTCGCACAGCTGTTCCGCATCCGCGCGTGGTGCCGGTCGCTCGGCGTGAAATTCAAACTCAACACGGTCGTCTGCACGCACAACTGGCGCGAGGAGATGGCCACCACGGTGGAGCAGCTCGACCCATTCCGCTGGAAGGTGTTCCAGGTGCTGCTTGTCGAGGGCGAGAACGACGACGGCAGTACAGACAGCGCGCTGGACAAGCGGATGCGTGACGCCCGGAAGCTGCTCATCTCGGACGAGCAGTTCCGCGATTTCTGCGACCGCCACGAGCACGTGGCGTGCTTTGTGCCTGAGCCCAACTCCCTCATGGCGTCAAGCTACCTGATCCTTGACGAGTACCTGTGCTTCCTGGACAAAGGCAGCGGGCGCGAGAAGCAGTCGCGCTGCATCCTGGACGTCGGTGTGCAGGCGGCCCTGGACGAGGTCCGCTGGGACCAAGACGCCTTCCGGGCGCGGGGGGCATGTACGATTGGAGCAAGGATGTCCAAGGAAGTGGTCAGGACGACAACGGTTGTGGGGCGACGAACAGCAAGGAGCTGGAGTGGTAGGCAGTTAGTAAAATACTACTTAGTCTGATCGCGTGGGAGCCTTGACTTGATGTATGCAG